GGGGGGCAGCCGGAGGGGCTTCAGGTCCTGCCCGACGTGCCCCCTGGCCCCGCTGCGGTTCGGGAGGGGACGGGGGGGACGTTTATCTGCACGGAGCCCCCCCCGCCGCGTCCTTCTCTCTTAAACTGGGGGTTGGGATAGATGATCTCTCGAGGTCCCTTCCAACCCCTGGGATTCTGTGATTCTATGAAGCACGTGGATCTGATCTGGGCAAGGGACCTGCTGGGAAGAGCCCAGGGCAGAGCCCCAGAGATGCTGGAGGGAGGGGAACATCTCCCTGCTGAGGAAAGGCTGAGGGAGCTGGGGCTGTTGGGCTTGGAGAAGAGGAGACTGAGGGGCCACCTCATCCATGGGCACAAATCTGTTCAGGGCAGTGTCAGGAGGACAGAGCCAGGCTTTGTGCAGTGATGCCCAGTGACAGGACAAGGGGCAGTGGGTGCAAACTGGAGCCCAGGAGGTTCCATGTGAATCCCAGGAATAACTTGTTTGCTGTGAGAGTGACAGAGCCCTGGGCCAGGCTGCCCAGAGAGGCTGTGGAGTCTCCTTCTCTGGAGACATTCCAACCCCCCTGGATCCTGTGTGATGTGCTCTGGGTGCCCCTGCTCTGGCAGGGGGGTTGGGCTGGGGGAGCTTTCCAGGTCCCTTCCAGCCCCTGGGATTCTGTGGTTCTGTCATTCTGATGGGTGGATAAGGAATTAATTGGCTGGATGGGCACATCCAGAGGGTAGTGGTCATTGGCTCAATGCCCAGGTGGGGATGGGTGAGAAGTGGTGTCCCCAGGGGTCTGTATTGGGCCAGTGCTGTTTAATTAATCAGCATCAACCATCCCGACAGTGGGACCAAGGGCACCCTCAGCAGGTTTGCAGATGGCACCAGGCTGACTGGGGTGGTCAGTGTGTCAGCAGGATGGGATGTCACTCACAGGGACCTGGGCAAGCTGGAGGAGTGAGTCCAAGTGAACCTCATGGGGTTCAACAAAGTCTAGTGCAAGGTCCTGCACCTGGGTCAGGCCATCCTCACTATCAGCACAGGCTGGGGGTGACGTGGCAGAGCAGCCCTGCAGAAACAGACCTGGGGGCTCTGCTGGATGGAAAGATGGACACAAGCCCTCCTGGGCTGCATGAAAAGCAGCACAGCCAGCAGACAGAGAGAGGTGATCCTGC